GCCTAACTGAGAACTCGACATAAATAGACATATACTGTGTGCATTCCTTTGTGGCTTGCTTCTTCACAAATTGACCTAATGGACACATTGTTTTTGCCCATTTTTGACCTTCATATAAATGGAATTAAAACAAATAAATATAATACATGGAAGGAACCATACTGCATGAACTTCTTTGTGTTATGATGTTACTGAAATTTACCCATGTTCATTCCAATTGGTAAAGAGTATCCCAGTGTGTGAACACATCACACTTTATTTGTCTATTACAAATAGACATAGGAGTTGTTTCCTATTTGGGGATGTTATGAAAAGTACTGTTATTTGAGAAGCTACCTGTCAGTCTAACTGCCCCTCCTTTCAAAGAAATCTCTTTTTTCTGGCTGCTCTTAAGATTTTTCTCTTTGTCACTGGTTTCCTGCAACTTCACTCTGCAGTGTGGATTTCTATTTTATTTATCTTGGGATTCTCTGAGTTTTGAAAAGTCTGTAAAGAGGTGTCTCTCATCTCTTCCCACGCTGTCCTCCAGGAGGCTTAACTTCCCTCTTCCTTATTTTTTGTCTCTCTGAACAATATTCTGGATGATTTCTTCTGGCTCTTTTCCAGTGCATGTATTTCTCTTTTCTGCTGGTCTAACTACTATTAAATCTATCCCTCTCGGTTTTAATTATGGTTATTAAATTTTTCATTTCTAGAAATTTTGTTTGGGTCTTTTAGGCTACTTTTTATAGTTTCTTCTTCTTGCAAATATTTTCAAGTTTGTCTACTTCTTTAAATACAGTAGGCATAATTGTATTAAAACCTGTCTCTGATATTTCCACTGTCTAAATTCTTTGCAGATCTGGTCCTGTGCCTGCTGTTTCTTAAGGTGCTTTGCTTCTTTATGTGAATATTTTCAGACAGCAAAACTGCTTTTAAAAAATTGGACAGTAGGGCTTCCCTGGTGGCGCACTGGTTAAGAATCCGCCTGCTAATGCAGCCCTGGTCTAGGAAGATCCCACATGCCGCGGAGCAACTAAGCCCGTGAGCCACAACTACTGAGCCTGTGTGCCACAACTACTGAAGCTCGCATGCTCTAGGGCCCACGTGCTGCAACTACTGAGCCCACATACTGCAACTACTGCAGCCCACGTGCCTAGAGCTCATGCTCCGCAACGAGAAGCCACCGCAATGAGAAGACCGCGCACCACAATGAAGAGTAGCCCCTGCTTGTCACCACTAGAGAAAGCCCGCGCGCAGCAACAAAGACCCAATGCAGCCAAAAATAAATAAACTAAAATTTAAAAATTGGACAATAATAATCCAATACTGACCAATGTAGCTTCAAATTCTATTAAAGCTTTACAAGGGGAAAGATGGGATAGCACTTACTGAAGTAGAATTACTATCAAAACACAACATAATCTTTTAACCTCAATTCCATCTTATTTTAGTCAGGACTGTATTACAGGAATATTTTTTATCACTATCCATGATTTGGATTCTTGTATAGGAGAACAATTTAAATATGGTGTCTGTAAAAATGTCACAGTCTCATAATAAATATGGTAGAGGCCAATCATTACTTGTAAGTAGCTTTTTTGAGATGTTATCAAATAGGACCTTTCCCCCTTAGTTTCAGCAGAGATCACTTTTGTTCCATGGTAATACTTCTTGGGATTCTCCACATATTCCCTCAGAGCAGACTCTCCCCAGGTGACCTTTGCTCTCGTTGGCATCTGTGTAAGAGAATTTGGGGGCCTGACCAAACAGACCTTTCAGGTTTGGCTTGTGCTTCCCACCCTCTGACACTGTGGCACTGGGCACACTTCTCAGTAGAAATCTTCTTGCCCTTCTCGACAGTCCTTGTTTTGAAGTCAGCTCTCTAAGTTACATACGTGCTGGATAGGCTCACCCAGCAGCTGACTGTCTTGCTCTCATTTCTAGAATTTAGTTGCTGTGGTCTAGTGAGTCTCAATCCAGGCTGTGCATGAGAAGCACCTGAGGAGTGATTTAAAGATACAGGTATCTGTGACTCTTTTTTTAAAAATTGAGGTATAGTTGCTGTACAATACTATATCAGTTTCAGGTGTACAACGTAGTGATTCGCAATTTTTAATTTTTTTGGCCCAGCCACAAAGCTTGTGGGATCTTAGTTCCCTGACCAAGAATTGAACCCATGCCCCCTGCAATGGAAGCGCGGAGTTCCTAACCACTGGACTGCCAGAGAATTCCCAAGTAATTCACAATTGTTAAAGGTTATACTCCATACAGTTATAAAATACTGGCTATATTCCCATACAGCTTATTTATTTTATACATAGTAGTTTGTACCTCTGAATCCCCTACCCCTGTCTTGCCCCTTCTCCCTTCCTTCTCCCCACTGATAACCACTAAGTTTGTTCTCTATATCTGTAAGTTCTTCTTTGTTTTATTCACTCATTTGTTGTATTTTTTAGATTCCACGTTTGTCTTTCTCTGTCTGACTTATTTCCCTAAGCATATACCCTCCAAGTCCATCCATGTTGTTGCAAACGGCATTTCATTCTTCTTTGTTTTATTCACTCATTTGTTGTATTTTTTAGATTCCACGTTTGTCTTTCTCTGTCTGACTTATTTCCCTAAGCATATACCCTCCAAGTCCATCCATGTTGTTGCAAACGGCAAAATTTCATTCTTTTTTATGGCTGAGTAATATTCCAGTGTGTGTGTGTGTGTGTGTGTGTGTGTGTGTGTGTGCACACACACACACACACCACACAGATATCTGTGACTCTTGATTCAGCGGTGCACAGGGGTGCCCTTGTCATGTAACTCTGGAAAACCCCCCAGAAGATTCTCATGCTTAGCCAAGGTAAGAACCAGAGCAATAGTTCCTTCCCTGGACTAGGGGTTGGGCCCTTTAATCTGCCAGGAGCTAGGAAAGGCAGTGAGTGGAGGTATGGGGTGGGCACTAGAGAGGGCAGGTGAGAAGAGCCAAAGGCAGAGCACAGAAGTCATCAGATCTGCATTGGAAAAATACAATCAGATCCGTGGAATCATCTGGCCAGGCGGAAAAGGCTCAGAGACAGAGGGAAAAGCAAAGAGCTTAAAAGTTGTATGCTATTAGTTGTTCCCTAACCCAGTTATGTGATATTCCATTGCCTGAAAAGTCCTCATTGGGCAGATGTCCTTTTTCATCTTGTTTTCTCTTCTAGCCTACATTTTCTTATCTCTCCCTTATCTTCAACAGCACCGCTCCTTACTTTTATAAGACCTCTATTAACAGAAAGAACACTGCCTAACCCATATAATCAATCCTCAGAGAAGCAGTAAAGTGTGGCACACACTGGCAGCTCCTCTGCTGCCTGAGATCACCAGGCAAACATGGAGAAGTGGCGGGGCTGAGTTACTAGAGCTGAGTCAGAGTGCGGAGGTTCAGGGCATGCATCAGAGGCCTTCTGCAGGTAACACTGACTCCTGCTTGTGCTTTCTTGTGGGCCCTTCCCCAGATGGCTATGGTACTTCCACCTCTGTCCTGTGGCAAACCATCTTTGACAGATGGACTTAGAAGTCTGGTAGTTAAACAAGCTCATAAAGTCATTTTTTTTTTTAATATACTGATCAGCTTCTACGTTCATTCAAATACTTGTGAAACCTAATCTAGAAAAATGACCCCCCAAACAAATCCCTCACCTGTCTTTATTATAATTTAGCTTGTAAATAATCTGAATGACTACCACTTAATACACACCTTTAAGTGACAGTGACAGGCAGTTCTGCAAAGGGCTTTATGTGGACAGGGCTTTATGCCTTTCTTATCGTGCTCCACTTTATTGCACTTTGCAGATACTGTGTTTTTTAACAAATTGAAGGACTGTGGCAATCTTGTGTTGTCAGATGATTGTCAGCATTTTTTAGCAATAAAGTATTTTTTAATTAAGCCGTGTACATTGTGTTTTAGATATAATGCTTGCATCCTTAACAGACTACAGTATCGTATAAACATAACTTTTATATGCACTGGGAAACCAAGAAATTCGCACGACTCACTTTATTGCGATATTTGCTTCATTGCGGTGGTCTGGAACAGAACCTGCAATATCTCTGAGGTCTGCCTGTGCTATATACATATATGCATGATATATATATCACATGTTTTGTCTCACGAGAGCCTCACAACCACCCTAAGGGTGGTATTACTATCTCAGTTTTACTGGTGAAGGAGCTGAGCCTCAGGGATGCACAGTGACTGCAGGGAGAGCCCCTGCTGGAGACGGGCAGGCATGTGGAGTACCAGGGCTGTCTGATGGGCCACACACACTTCCTTTCACTGTTAGGGGTGGGGAGTGTGGACCTTGAGCCATGGACCCACTTCTGTCGTAACTTTGTTCTTGGCTCCTTTTAAGGTTCCTACGTACTCAGTGAACACCATTTCTCTCAGGACATTCCTGTACACAGTTTATGGACACCCTCTTTGTATTCCAAAGTGAAGAGGAAGTGGGTGCACGTGATGGCCCAGATGCTGTCTGAGGGCTGGGGTGTCACATAGGTTGAAGCCAAAGGTGAAGCCCCACCCCGGGCCACAATGACACGGACAAAAAAATCCCACGATACCCGACAACATCTAGGCGCTCTGTTGACTCTGCGTTTGATGCACTGAACTTGTCTGGCTTCTCAGAAGGCCAAATAATTCAGATGAGGCTGAGGCTGATACGGTGAGCCAGATCTGACCACATGAACAAACGAGGTGACTTACAGTTCATGGGAGCTGCAATTCAGCAAATTCAGCTTGGCAGATGTGCCTCTCCCTGAGAGAAGTGCTGCTCACGTGCCCTCCCACCCCCTTCCTGTCACCCCAATGTTTTCCTCACGGACAGGACCCGCCCACATTAGAATAGAGCTTCAACAACAAAGCAGAGACCTCATGTTTTTTGTTTTACCGTGAAAAGCTCCTGCCTACTTAAATTGGGTGGCGCATGTGCAATGAACTCTCCCAGGGTTTTGAGGACTTTCAGAGAACAGGATGCACTACTTCTTACCCCTCCTTCCCTCGATTATGGGTGGCTAGTTCTTCGCCAATGCCCTCTTCCTCCTTGAAGCTCTCCCAGTCCAGCTTGGACTTCTCTAGGGTGCTCATCTTCTGCTTCTTGGCTCCTATTTTCCCCAAAAGGCTGCTCATGCCACTTGATCTTTTTAACCTAGGGAAAGCAAAAACATGAAACATGTAGCAAGTAAAAACTCTAATCTCTTGATTAATGGTTTTTCTGATTGGCACGGGCCTCCCTAGATTCAAGCGATTTATCTTAATGGGAGCCATGTTTGCATCCAGGGTACTTCCTGTCGCTGTGGAGAGCACAGTAAGGAGACCGGAATCCTAATGCACTCTTCCTGCTAAATACCTCTGACCACTCTAACGACCTGGGGATAGGAAATCCTGAAGACCTCTGTCTGCTCTGTATGACAGACAGGTCTCTGCTTGCAAGGAGGGAGAAGTGCAGCATGATTCAGACATGGTTTTATAATCACATGCCTTGCTTCATATTCCAGCTCGAACCATGTGACTTTAGGCTAGGTATTTAACTACATCTGCTTCGGTTTCCTAATCTACAAAGTGAATGCTTACTCACAGGGCTGTAGTGTATCCTCTATATAAAGTGCTTAAAACAGCAGCTGGCACAGAGCAAAGGTGCAATAAATGTTATCCATCCTGAATCACTGTCATCATTTGTGCACTAAAGCCCCAGGGAATCCTTTCAAGAGAAAGAGAACCAGATCCCAACACTGATGAGCAAGAGTTACAGGATCTTAAAAAGACCCTAAGATCAGTTTCCTTTCAACTCCTGTGAGTCAGGACCCTGGTTTTTCCCAGGAGGTGGAGAACATTTCTCATCCTGAAAGCAGGGAATGTACAGCCTGCGCTCTACTTGCTGGTTATGCTGTCGTGGATGGTGGGAGAAACCCCATATGTCCAAGTTCAAGTCCTGGCAGGTCAAATGTTTCTAGCCAATGTTAAATGTATGAGATAAAATAAGCAAGACAGAATGCAGCTAGTAAGAAGGTGGCACTAGGGGAAGGAAGTATGGAATGAACATGGCTTTTGGTCTCTTTAGAAAGTAAAACAAGTTATATACCAGCATACAGGAAACTAGAAGTCATTTTCTGCTTTACTGGGATATGCAAGAGAGTTAAAACATTTAAAAACTCTCTGAGCTAACATCACAAGGCCTACTGATAACATCAATAATAATACCTCTCACTTGCTTAGAAGGCTCATTATCCAAGTGTTTCATAGTCATTTCTCATCTTACTCTCCCTAGTGCCCGTGAAAGAGGACCACTGAGTCTCAGAGTTGGAGGAGGAAATTCAAGATGATCTTGTATCTCACCAACCATTCTGAAATCCCACCTTCCTGCAGCACAGGGCCAGTGAGGGCTGGCTCACTACCTCTGCCCTGGAATGAGCCGATAGGCCAGTGTCCACACTGAACACGAGACTTCTGGGGCTGAACAATTACCCTCCACACTCTCATTAGCTTCCCTGTTGTGGTCATACCCTACTACAGGCTGTCAGCTTAAGATCAACTCAGAAGAGGCTGGGCAGGCATCACTGTCCTCGTTTCGAGTTGGACAAATGAAGTGCAGAGAGGTTAAATGATACAACAAAGGTCAAACCAACAGAAGATGCAGATCCAGGGCAAAACAAGGCTTTTCTGACCCTCAGTGTGGTGCACTGTGCTGTCTCACTTCTAACGTGAGAATTTACTTGAGAGATTTTCTGACAGCTATTTTATTCCCAATTTGCTTAAGGATCTTCCAAAGAGCTCTTTATGAGCTTTTGATTCATATCTTCTAATTCTTTTCTGGATAACAGTCCCTACAACAATCTCTCCATCAACACACACAGACTACATTTTACCAGGAACAGAGCATAAGTGGGGAGGCAGAAACTTAATATGGCTCAAATCTTTCCCCTTCTCACCTGCTTCACTGATACTGTCCTGGTTCTCATTTTTATATTCTCACCTGGATGATTAAGCAGGCTCTTCACTTGTCTCCCTGACTTCTGTCTTGTCCCACCATCACTCACCTGCTCCATCCTGGCATCTATCCTACATGCTGTCTTCACCGTGAATTTTTGAAAATATTAAGCTTATCGCGTCTTTCTGGTTAACGTCTCCTCCTTGACCCCTATTTACTCTTACAATAAAGTCTAAACTCCTTCGCTTGCAGAGTTCTTCCTGATCTTCTCTCGCCACATCTCCCCTTGCAACCTACACTGCAGCCACACCTGCAGTTCACCTCTCCCGGTCCCCCTCCCATTCATCTGGTCTTGCCTTAGCTTAGAAACCGCTTCTTGCAGGAGGCTTTCCCAGACCTTTCCCCCAGTCTCTGAACTAGATGCCTCCTGCTGGTGTTTCTACTGCACCCCTGTTCTTTTCCCATTACAGCACTGCTCCTCTCCGTAACAGGTGCTTGAGGGCTCTACGTTCAGCTGCTGCTGCACTGGTCAGCTCTGAGGAAGCTCAGAGCCACTGCGGACAACATCTCACCAAAACCACACACCTGGAGGCTTTCCATTTCTGGCCGAAGGGTGTCCTTTGACCCTGCCTACATGCCAGAAGCACTGTGGTGGAGTGGTTGTGGCAGACAGGAGCTGGTGGCTAAATGGCCCAACCTCTTGTCCTCACATAGGCAGTCCTGGGAGGTACACTGAATGCTTCTCAGAAGTCCTGATGGCTCGTGGCCTTGGAAATGTGTGCACTCTTGTATTGGCTTTTCTGCCTTCCCTGCCTCACTTTTCCCACCCCCTCAACTCTTGCTTCTTGGGACACCTCCCCAAGTAAACCACCTACACTCAAAGCCTTACCTAAGGTTCTGCTTTGAGGGGAATCTAACAAAGATGTTGAGGAGAAACATGACTTTTCCTTTGCAGGCTCTATATCGTGTGGATACTTAAGTTCTGGGTCTCCAAATCTCTCTCTAGCACATGGATATAGTTCTGTAAACAGTGGACACTTGATAAACTCAACAATGTCACCTGGATCACAGAACAAATTAGTGGGAGAGAATCAGATTTCTGTAGAATAAAGGTGTTCAGAACACTTCTAAATTGGGGAATTCTAAGGGGAGGAATTTCCACTTATATTTGCCAGTCAGCTCTCAGCAACCCAGGGTTCCCCATTTTATCTGGGCAGCACCACGGCTCTGTACACCACCTCTCCCCAACAGCCTACAGCTTGACAGTATTAACAGAATATACCATCTTTTCAACAAGTCACTTCGAGAAGTCTATGGGAAAATGATTTTTGCCGCATAGCAGTGAAAAAGGTTCTAGAAAAGGAAAAGTCATAATCCCCCTTTAAATGAATATGAGCAAAATTTCACCTGTGCTGTTATGCTTTAGGAGAAAGCTTCTATGTCTGCTTGCATTGGATCATTAACACTGTGTATGATTTCCTAATTTGATGGCCTCAAAAGCAAAATTACCCATCTTGTATTTGAGGCTAAATCAAAGTGAACGACACATTTATAGTAGCAGCCAAAACATGCGGAGGCTCATCATCACTGAGAGACCAGCACTTGGCTCCTGGAACCTGGAATGTGGGGTCTCACACTCACTCCCCACCTTGAAATGGGGCTTTAGTGGCATAATCCTGGCATCATTCCATTGCAATTTTCAGGAAGGCAGATTTACCCTGACCTTGGACCCATCTCTGCTGTTAAAGTTCATTAATCAGGCTTTCGGGAAAGCTGAGGCAGGCAGAAAAGAGCCAGATTCCGGGCAGTGGCTGCTGGCTGTCTCTATTCCGCTGTGAAGGAAACTGCAGAGAGCGCCTCAGCCTATGGCTCACCCTCTCAGAACTGCAGCTAGGCCAGGAGGGAGCAACTTCAGCACTGGCATCCCACAGGCATTTAGCAGGTGTGGACACTGGAAAACCGGGGAAAGGGGAAGGTCCGAATTCCCTTGGAGACCTCTCTGCT